CATGCTTGCCAGGCAGGTGTCTACCACTTGAGCCATACACCCAGCCCTTTATGCTTTTAGTTATTTTTCAGATATGGACTTATGCTTTTACCTTGTCTGGCTCAGTTCACAATCCTCCTACCTACATATCCATGAAGCTGGGAGTACGGATGTGCACCACAATGCCTGACCTTATTTTTTTTGAGACAGGGTCTCACTATCTACCCCAGGTTTGCCTAGATCTTAATAATCCTACTACCTCAGCATGACCCAGCTTCATCATAATAATTTTAAATAGTTTTATTTTTTATTAAATTTTGGAGAACACTGGCCTTTCTTGAAACTGCGCCTTTTACATTTTTAATTGTGAACAATCCCCTAACTACCAGCTTTAGAAACCACCTGTGTTGTAGCTCACTTTCAGAAAAAAATGTTGCCTGTTTTTATGGACTACAGCTTTTTAGCTCATTTTTTGAACAGTGCTGGGAAACAAACCTAGGATTTTGCACATAAGCTACATCCCAGCCCCTAGCTCACGCTTAAAGAGACATGTTGTCCCTCTGAAATTTAAGGTATGAGTGGATTTATCTTTGAGTTCCTTTCCCTCGTGCAGGAGTCCTTGATGCCTCTCCCTTATAGTACCTCTACCCACTGAGAAAGCATCTATTTATGCTGAGTGTTTCCTCATTTCTCGTAGCATGCTTTAAAAGATTGTCCAAGGTGTCATCAGGGATAGCACTAATGAATGGAGAAGTGGCATATCTGTTTTGTCTTATTCCTGATTATAGACACTGAGGAAGTTCCCTAAGTATCCCTGAAGATTGAACCTCATGGTTCAACTGGTAACAAGCATGGAATCAAGTAGAAAATACGACCTTTTAAAATTTCTTTTAGCATAATTGTCTCATTTCCATCTGGAGGTCATTTCTATTTGAGTAATTTTGGCTCTGGAGATAATTATTGTCCATTCCTTTACCGGCCTTCTTTAAAGACTAAAGGTCATCTGAAAAACTGTATTTTACAAAATGGGTCCAATTTTTTCAGGGTCTCCTGAACACAGTCTGGTGGAATGTGTTCCACCGGATCCTGGGGTGTGATTCACTAACACAATATGGTTTTCTCCTTGACAAGTTGGCACACGTACTATATGCTTCTGAGTGATTTGAGGGATTTGTCTAACATAAAAAAACCAAGTTCACTTCTCATAGATAAAACAGAAGGATAAAGTTAGGCTTCACTCATTTATTTGTGTCCCCAAAAATAATTTGGCTGCCTGGTTTCATCATATCCCACATGAAGAGACTTTCTACTGCAAAAGATTGGAGATAAGTTTATTGCATGATATACAGTAAATGATCAAGATCATGACCTTTTTAATGTTTTTGTCCCTAATAACTGTGTGTATGTTTGAATTCTTTAAAGACTGGATTATAAATATATATCTGCTTCCTCAGCTCAGACTCATAAGAATGAAGTTCTCAAAGTTACCTGAATTATTGGAAACAGTTGATTCACAAGATTCTGTTTCTTACCATACACACTAAAGGTAAAATGACGAAAAACAAGGATGTCACTTATTTGTTCAAGAAAGTGAGAGTGTTCAGCTTTAACCTAGACACATGGATTGAATAGAGAGAAATCATAGGCTCTACTTATTTAAGGCTCAGTAAAACCAGAGATTTAAAAAAAACCTGTAACTCACAGATTGGGAAGAGTTACAGAGTTTATAGTGAAGTTAAAGTCACAATTAAGACTATTGGTCCATTTCCAAAGCAATGCCTTTAGAGTATAAACCTTAAGATATAATCTAAATGCTCAAACCTGACCTACTAATCAGTGTGGCTAAGTTTGAAGAAAAAAGAATTAAGTTAAAACTGATCTATGACCATTGCTAAAATAATTTGTCTTGGAAAATTTGACGTAAAATATGGTCTCAAAATGTGTTTGAAGTCTTAGGCTTTGGGATTAAACTAAGTCATATTTGAGTTTGTGTGGCTCTATGAAATTATATTTTTATTAGAAAATTGTTGACATTGAATTTTAGAATCACTCTTTAAACATGCTATAAATAAGGACTTGGAATGTGCTCTGTCTGAAATGATCCAGTATAATTCATAATGATCAGTGAATAGCACCAAGCTTAAAATTCAGTGATCTTTGCATAAATACAATGCTTTTCTGTATTACTTTTGTAATACTGGTGAACATCCCTAATTTTGAGTACATAAGAGGTGCTACTTTGCTTTACTTTTGGGCTTACTATTGAAAGAAAATCAACACCCCCAGACTTATGAGTCTTCAAAAATGAATCCTAGTGATGGTGGTTGCACATCATGAATGTACCTAATGCCATTAAAACATAAATGGAAAAACGTGTTAAAATGGCATATTTTTCTTAATATATATCTTATTACTAAATGACTCCTTTTACTTTAATGTTCACAGAAAATGGCTACATGGCTCTAAGAAACAATGTTGGAATCTCTGATGCCTAATTTAAAAAAGAAACATAACCCCTGGGTACATTCATGTTGGTATAATAATATCTGAAAATATATCATATGAACATATAGTAATATAAATATATTCTGTAATAGCAATAATAAGGGAAATTGTGAAATAAGGAAAATGGGAACAAATTCTCAGGACGTTAAAAGGACTAAGACAAAGAGAAAACAATGACAAGAAAATCAACGAAGGTTGAGGGCAGTTAATGTAGAAGCCAAGAGTGATTCTGTGGTCATGTACCAAACAGATTCCCCCAAGAGTGAGAAAGTCATGAGTGGTTTCCAAGTGGAGCAGTAACTAAAACTGGCAACTGAAGATTGTATGAGCAGAAGGGTTTAAGTCATAAAAGAGTTGGAAGATGATCTAATAAGAAAAAAAGTGATGAAATATACAGTAGTGAAATTGTTAGAAAATAAATGCTTTATCAATTCTCAGTGGAACTGGAGAGAGCCTAAAATTGTGAAGATTATCTCCTAGCCAGTGAGGTAAGCAATGGAAAATTTAGTCATATTCTGCAACATCTATGTTTTAAATAATTCTATTCCCATTAACCATTCTGTCACTTAGAAGTAAATCATGTTCTAAAAACACCTGTGAGTTTTTTTCCTTGCAACATTATAGCAATTTATGTAAAGTGAAAAAAATTCACTGAAACTGTGATATATATCATTAATGAAATATATAGTACATATGTCAAAATGTAGAAAAATCAATTAGGCTTTATGGTAGACCTACTCAGCACACTGACACTACACATCAACAGCAAAGCTGTGAGAGGTAGAGAGAAGTTGGGGGGGGACCTTGGCTATATCTATTACCTGTAATTTTGATACAAAGAATCAGACTATATACCATGGGTTCTCCATGTTTAACAATGAAAGTGCATAATAACAGCAGCCAATATTTGTTGAATGCCTACTGTATGCTCATTGTTGTTTTATTCATAAGCACATTATCTTTGGATTAATCCTTTACAGTTCTCCAGAGAAGTAAGTGATCCTATTATCATCCTCCTTTTCCAGAATAGAAAAGTGAGTTAAAGCAAATAAATACCAAATATAGGATGAAGAGATTCAGGAGTGAGCCTATTCACTTATTACCTCTCCCAGTATAGCCATGTTTCTCCTTTGTCATTTTTATCCCTTTCAAAGTTGCCCTTGGACCAGGTGTAGTGATTTGCACACCTGTAATCTATCCCTGCACTTGGAAACTTGACATAAGATCATGAGTTTTAGGGCAGCCTAGGCTACAGACTGTACAGCCAGACCCTGTCTAACAACACAAAAGTTACTGCTGGTACTTGTTTTTGCCTTTTTTTAAAGGCATAGTGTGTGTGTGTGTGTGTGTGTGTGTGTGTGTGTGTGTGTGTGTGTGTGTCTGACAGGAAGGGAGCTAATGAACACATGATGTTACTTGTCTTAGAGCCTGGGTCCATGATGGTATGCTGCTGTTAGTTGCCCTTCAACTGGCAGACACTCTTGGTTCCACATGTTTGAATCTGAATTTAGGGAGTATGGAAGAGAGATTGAATTGAACATTAAAGCACCTCCTGTTCCATGCACTGAACACAAGCTTTTATCATTGATTGCCCACAGTAGCCCTGTGGAGCGGAGAAACTATTGTCTTGTCTGTTTTATAAATGAGAAAACTAATGCCCCAACAAGTTGAGTGACTTTCTGAGGTCACACAGCTAGTGGGTTGGAATTCCATCTTCAGTTGCTCTGGCTCTGTGGCCCCGGATCTTCATACAGTCCTGTGCTTCCTTCTTAAAGAAGAAATTTGGCTTCCTCAGGGGTTCCCCCAAATTTTTGGGTACAATGACATAGAACAGTGCTTTCTAGATTGTAAGTCTGGCCTAGCTAGAAAGCAAAGCTGCTCCTGTGATCTGCTTGAGCTAGCCTACCTTGAGGGGGTACATACTAGCAGACATTTTTCCAGTCTCTATAGAACTGCAAACCCTGAGTATGACTCTTAGTTTTCAAGTGCATATTTCAACCCTCCTGCTAAGGGGCTTCTGGGTACTCAGTTGCTTCAAGAATTACCAGCATCTGTAAGGCAAACCTTCTGTAATCACTGTTCCCATGGCCCCAGGATATAGGACAGGATTCTTGTTATATGCTTTCACAGATCACTGTTCCTTTAGGGAGCTTATTTTAGTTATTAGTTAACATATTCACTAAAGTTATCATTTACTTAATGTTCAACAATAGCTTGTATTGCTCCATGAAAGCATGTCCAGGGCCTGTTTTCTGCATCCCAATCACCTAGAACACTGCACAGTAAATGTTTGTTAAATGAATGAGTGCTTTTCTTTCAAAGGCTCAGGTGGCTACTTTTCTGGTCAGAATGGGTATATACAGAGACTGTCTGTGTCACAGACGAATAAACCTAACGGTTTGTGAAGCCTGTCCAACCATTCATTTGTTAGAAGTCCAATAGTAAAACAATGCTGACTCCTGCTTTGCTGCTCTGGACTCTGGAGGTCTTAAAACTCATTGAAAACAGAGATGACTTCAGCTTACCTCTTTCTGGTGGTATTTGATTGCTACCTTCAGCTTGGCCAGGTCATGGTACTTCTGGGGATCAAGCTCTTCACTGTGGTCATCTCGGTGGTTGAGGATGATCTCCAGTTCCCGGGAACTCCGAGCTTGGTCCAGCAGGTCTTTGGCAAAGAGTTTGCACTGCTGAGAGAGTTCCTCATACTCAGCCTTAAACTCATTCTCCACTTTGCTGAGCTCCTTGAGCTCCCAGCCCAGGCGGAATGCAGTTAAGATGGGGTCCTCACTTGATAAAGCAATGAGTGAGGGGCTTGCCAGAGCCTTATAGATGTTCAGTCGGGAACGGGAATGGCGCAGGCTGTCTACCTCTGAACTGGACACACACTCCACACAGTTGCAGCGGATCTGATGGGGTCGTGGGATAGTGACCCGTTTTTGGACAAGCAATTTGATAATTTCATAGTTGTTGGTATGGGCAGCCAGCATGATGGGAGTGATGTCTGGTGTGAACTCAGAGAACTGGGTATCCATCATCAGAGTGGGGACCTACATACAAAAAATGAGAAGCATAGAAGGGCGGGATTAAAGTTAGGAGAGAGAGAAGGACCATAAGGCCCATCAAATGGTAAATCAGGAACTGAAGTCTCCATTCTTTTGTCACTTCTCCCTAGCAGAATAGTTTATGTTTGTAGAATGCCTACTGTGTTGCAGGCACTGTCCTAGGGACTTGACATGTATTCACTCATTTAATACCTACAGTAAAACTGGGAGGCATTCTCCTAGGAAGGCTCTGAGACACACAGAGGTTAAAGGACATAGCTAAGATTGTACTATTTTTAGTAGTAGAGCCAAAATTCAAACCTACACAGTATGAATGTAGAACTTAGCTTTTAAAATTATGTTAAAGAAGTAAAGAAGATGAATATGGTTGATGTACTTTCTATAGAAGAATGAATGTAGAATCTTTAAACCTGTTGAGATTACCATAAGAAGGGGACTAAGGTAGAAAGGAGAAAAATGGAGGGGATGAACCAATTCAGGATACAATACATATATACATGGAAATGTCATAATGAAATTCTCTGTATAACTATCTTAAACAGAAATGTCTTTTTTCAAAAACAGAGGACAGGAAGGTAAAACAAATCCTATCTGAGGTTGGTACTGGTGGAGTGGGGAGGACATAAGGAAAGGGTGTAGGAGGTGAATATAGTGGAAATATTATGTACTCATGTGAAAATGGAAAAATGAGACCTGTTGAAACTATTCCAGGAATGGAGGGAGGGGAGATAAAGGAGAATGACGGAGGGGATAAATTTAAGATATATCATAGGTACTTTTGTAAATGTCACAATATACCCCTTGTACAATAATATAATATTTTTTAAAAATTTAAAAATTATGTTACTATACCATCCTCAGTTCTGTCTTGAGACAGAATAAGGAAACAAAAGAGAAAGATGTTATTCCTGATCTTCTGGATTTGAGTTGCATAGATCAGACATACACTAAATTGGCAACAGTACTAGAAGTATGTGTTCAGTTCTAAATCAGCTTTAGAGACTGCCAGAATGTTTTTTTGAAAGGCTAATGACAATATATCTTAAGAAGACTCTCTCAAATAGTTACATTGACTTTGTATCTGTATGGGACCTCCAGAGGCCAAAGTCCCAGACCAGATTGGATTCACTCTACATTCTCTAAGCCCTGGAAGAAGTTGTCAAGAAGAAATACTTTGCAAATGGGGACTTCTAGCCTTGCAGAGGGGTTGCTAATAGCAAAAGGGCTGTTGACAATACTGCTATGTCTGGAATGTAATGTTTGGTGTAAATATCTTCTATTAATGAAAGGTACAGAGTTCTTTAAGTAGTCAGAAGCACATCTGGGGACATGTGCAGAACCTGATTAATAAATTCTTAAAAACCATCCAACTTTAAGATGTGTCTTTAGGGACATAGTCTGTTTTCAGTCCAAAAAAGAAACTGATTCAAATCACTAGAATCATATAGCAATCTAAATGTAGTGGGATTCAGAGCGAGAGAATGGGACCTATGTAGTGTGGAGCTGAGTATTCAAAATGTGGACAGGATTCCAGAAGACAGGAAAATATTGATCTTATTACACTCAAGGAAAAAAGAAAACAGTTCTAAATATTCATTTTAATTGGGAAGAACAGAATAGGAATACTTGAGATTCTTACAAAATAGATAAATATTGTTTTCTTTTTATTCTCTAAATTTCTGTAAGAAAAGAAAAAACAACAACCCACAGTTATTGGTCACCTGACAAAAGGATGAGTTACTGTTGTTCATCATTTTTGCCTCCCTCCAATCTTGCATGAGGGATTCCTAAACAGGAAAGTGGAGGGAAAACAAGAAGTGGGAGAAAGGTGGGGGAGAAGGAGTTTGCAAGAAACCTGCTTCCTTCATGGAGTGGTTGCATCAGCTTCTGAATAGCTGAAAGCTGGCTGCATACTGGTCATCAATTGCTACAATGGAGCAGCGAGTAATCATTGTTAAACATTTAGAAGGAGCAGCTACAAACAAAACAGCGGGAAGTGAGCAGCTTGGCTCATAAAGTAAATTGGACTCAGGAAAGAATAATCTCAGAAATTAACATAAACCTACAGGCTAAGGAAAAAGTAGGTCTGAGTGGGCCTAGAAATGAACATAAACACAATCAGTATAAAGCCTAGAGTTGGGAGAAATGGTAAGCGAGTAACTGATCACAGTCTGCCCAAGAAGAAAAGCTCAGATCTGGAAAATTTGTCCTTTCTTTGGGTAGGAGCATTCTTCATTCTCTGTTACCATCTGAAAGGGTTGGGAGAGGCAGGGGAAAGATAATATGTAGGACAGACTTCCCTGGGTTAGATTGGAGGTACTGTCTGCTTTCTACCATGCTACTCAACCTGTCTTCTCTGTCTCCCCTTCCTTGCTCTTTCTACTTTTATTACTCTTTTCCTGTCTTTTCTTCCATGTCAATGCTGCCAGTCCTGTCCAAGACACACAGAAGTACCTTAGTCCCTCTTGGGTCACAGAGCTAAAAGGTTACTGTCTATGCTTAGAATATGAAAGGTTTTCTGAAGCTCTCTCATTTCATTGTCCAATAAGGAACACTTTGAATCTGTTTGGCATTTTGGGGTTCTTGCTATCAGAAAGAAAAGGTTTTAGAAAGAAAACTGGTCTACAGTGATCAACTTGACCAACCATGTCCTTTCACTCAGAGTGCCTTTTCTCCTCCAGTTGGTGTTGTCACCATAGGCTGCTCCACTCAACTCACTCACTGCTCTCTTTTTGTGGGATTCCCTGTGGGAAATGGTCTTGTCCTCTTTCTTTACCAGTCAAGGGCTCTTGTAAATTCCAGCTTCTACAGTAGCTTCTACTCCTAACTTACAGCCCATCCCACCCAAACATTGTGGATACTAGGCTACATCCACCACAGTCACTTTTCTAATGCTGCTTTTCATTATTCTATAATTATTTCACACAAATACTTCTTCCCTCCCCAGTAAGATTGGGGATCTAACCTAAGGTCAGAGCTGCTGTACTCTGCTCTATACCCTACAGCATCTAAAATAATGCTAGATGCAGCAGGTCCAAGCAAAAAGGAATTAAATATTCTGTTCTTAAATTAAGATTCCCACAATTTGAGTCAACAGAGGTTCATTTCTTTGGGCCTTTCCTTCCCATGTTCAGTTGAGAAGTCTCAAGACTCTAAGGAGTGTTAGCAGATTGGCTCTATATGGAACAACCCATGTGGTCTCTAAAACTTGGGATAGTTCCTGTCTGTCATTTTTCACAGTTCTATTGCTTCCATATGGAGCCTCTGCTCCATAGACCACAGATTTATATTACTCCTACCTCTCTGCTTAATTTTTTATTAGCATATATTTGTTATAGAAAATACTGTGTTTCATTGTGACATTTTCATACATGGATATAATGTACTTTGATCCTATTCACTTCCCGTATCAACATCTCTTGTTCCTCCTCACCCTCCCCCATTGATTGGGTCCCTTCCCCTTCCCAAATAGTTCCTCTTCTATCTTTACATACTTTTAAAATCTAAATTCCATATATGAGACAAAACATGTGATATTTGGCTGTCTGAGTCTGGCTTATTTTGCTTAACATTATGATCCCCAGTTCTATCCATTTTCTGCAAATGACATAATTTAATTTTTTTAATGGCTGAATAATACTCCACTCTGTGTGTGTGTATATATATATCACATTTTCTTAATCCATTCATCGTTGTAGAGCATCTAAACTGTTTACAAAGCTTGGCTATTGCGAACAGTGCTGCAATAAACATGGGTATGCAGGTGCCTCTATGTGTGTTGAGTTACATTCCTTCAGATATATGCCCAGGAGTGGGATAACAGGATCATATGGTAGTTCTATTTTAACCTTTTTGAGGGACCTCCACTTTCCACAGCAATATTGCCTGGATTTACATTTCTATGAACAGTTTGTAAGTATTCCTTTATCTTCCACATCCTCACCAACATTCATTGTTTTGTGTTATCTTGGTGATAGCCATTCTGACCGGGTTGAGATGGAATCTCAATGTTTGGTTTTTGTTGTTTTGTTTTGTTTTGAGACAGGGTCTCACTCAGTAACCAGGCTGGCCTGGAGCTTATTGTGTAGCCCAAGCTAGTTTCAAACTGGTGATCCTACTGCCTCTACCTCCCAAGAAGTTGGATTACAGACATGTGTCACCACACCTGGCCTCTCAAAGTAGTTTTGATTTGCGTTTACCTGCTTGCTAAAGATGATGAAAATTTTTTCATGCAATTATTTGTCATTTTAACTTCTTTTTAGAGCTGGCTGTTTAGTTCATTTGCTCATTTATTGATTGTATTATTTAAGTTTTGGTGTTTAATTTTTGAGTTCTTTATATATTTTGGATATCAGTTTAAATATTTTTTCCCATTCTGTAGGCTAACTCTTTATTCTGGTAATTATTTCCTTTGATGTGCAGAAGCTTTTTAAGTTGATGCAATTCCACGTGTCAATTCCTGCTGTCATTTCCTGAGCATTTGGAATCCTATTCAAAAAGTCATTACTTATACCTATATCTTGAAGTATTTTCTCTATGTTTTCCTCTAGTAGTTTCAAAGTTTCATGTGTTATATTCAGGTCCTTTATCCATTTTGATTTTTGTATGGAAGAGAGATAGGGATCTAGTTTCAGTCTTCTATATGTGGATATCCAGTTTTCCCAACACATTTGTTAAAGAGACTGCCTTTTCTCTAATGTATGTTTTTGGCTCCTTTGTTGAGAATCAAATGGCTGTAGCTGTGTGGGTTTATTTCTGGATCCTACATTCTATTCCACTGGTCTACAGTTCTGTTTTTTGTGCTACTACCATGCTGCTTTTGTTACTATGGCTGTGTAGTATATTTGAAGTCTGGCATTATGATACTTCCAGCATTACTCTTTTTGCTCAGGTTTGCTTTGCCTATCTGGAGTCTTTTATGCTTTTGTATGACTTTAAGGATGTTTTTCTAGTTCTGGAATTTTGATGGCTTTGTATCTCACTTT